TCATAAATGTTTGGTTAACTACGATCTCAGTATATGAGTGTATGAAAGTAGTCAACATCGTACGAAGCCTTCTCACTTTATTGATATTAGTTTGTTTGCTAATATAGCATAATTGATCGGATGTAAGTTGCTTCTTCTTTCCTGTCAAACATCTGTTATTGTCATCGATATCTGAACTCTTCTCATTCTTTTTTTTTTGCATGTTTCTCTCTAATCACGCCTCAAATCTTCGACACTTACATGCCCAATCGGTGTTGGAAAACTAATGAAAACTTTGAAGAGACGTATTCACAAGGTTTTTATCCGGCTTGAGACTAAGAGACGTTAGCTACCAAATGTTCGCTCAAATGCGAATTCCTCAATCACATTTGGGTTCTGTTTGAGCGTTATTCCATAGGCGGACAGACATTTTCTCACCCTTTCCTTGGCCGCCAAATCAAGTTTGCAATCAAGGTTTAACACCCAGCTTATGTTATTATCCTTAACTTCTGTAAGTCTTTGAACATGCAGCTGTAGATGAGATTCTAGATCTGTGTAGTCTGAGCCGTAAAAGTCAGAATTGAAAGCCAGACCCGATGACACAGGGTAGAAGTTAATTGTGGAGAGCATGGTGGCGTTTTGGATGTGTATCTCGGCAGGAACATCATCGTCCTTGACATTTGAAGAACCAAAAGACATGAAGTCTTTCGTTCTGTGGTTGATGACATGCCGTATGTTCTCTTTGACCCTGCGCAAAGGTACGTAATGAACACATATTCTGCCTTGGCGTATGAGTCTGTTCCACGTGACCTCGTCTTGGAAAAATTGCTCGATGTCCTCGTTGGTCATTTCATGAACGTTTTGGAAAGTTGAAGGGTCCACTTTTGGAACGCTGTTTTTCAGCACGTCCATCTGGTAAGCTTGCTGGTGGAAATGAAAAAGAACCGGAGTAAGTCGTTTAACATGAAGTTCGAAGCAGACTCTTTTACATGTTATTTGCAGCAGTGCGATTTTGTTGTTTTCTTCTTCTTCTTCTTCTTCTTCTTCTTCTTCTTCTTCTTCTTCTTCTTCTTCTTCTTTTTCTTCTTCTTCTTCTTCTTCTTCTTCTTCTTCTTCTTCTAATTCTTCTTCTTCTTCTTCTTCTTCTTCTTCTTCTTCTTCTTCTTCTTCTTCTTCTTCTTCTTCTTCATCTTCTTCTTCTTCTTCTTCTTCTTCTTCTTCTTCTTCTTCTTCTTCTTCTTCTTCTTCTTCTTCTTCTTCTTCTTCTTCTTCTTCTTCTTCTTCTTCTTCTTCTTCTTTTATTTATTTATGTAATTATTTATTTATGTATTTTTGTTGGGGGGGGGGGGGGCTTGGTACTTTGCACATGGGTTTTGTCAAATGACAAACCTTTCTTTGCACTCCGATCAACAGGCCGCATAGACTGATACTATTTGTAGTTATCACCTAAGTCTCGTTTTTCGAAATATGTAATTCCTAAGTTCAAAATTCTGTCACACCGTGAGGTCTAGCAGTTGTAAGTATAGTATCTCTAATAAAAAAACCATTGTTTTTTTTACTGACACTTCCAGATGTTTTATAATACACTACCAAGGCGACATCCGTGCTAAAAACATTGAAAAAGAGTTGATATAAATCATATAACTTCTGAAAAAAAGGTGTGGGTGCTTGGTGGGTATTCTTTCGTGGTTTGCTCCTTCTTGCCTTTCAAACACATATCGCAATTATCTGTCCTCTTTTTTTTTTAATTTGTAATACTCGTGTTCCACCTCTATATTGAATCTTCAGCTTTTGTATCGCCTCATTGTGCTGCATTAAGCTGTCCCCCTGGTTTTATGCACCCCGCATAGTTTAGCAAAATTGGATCACTTTTTGCATAATTTCTGATTATTTTCCTTTATCATTCTTTGTTAAAATGAAAAGAATAGCATAATTTCACATTTTTGGGCCCAGTTTGCATAATTTTTCTTGCTTAAACGACGGGGACAAATTAAGTGCCGTAAGAAAACTTTATAAAAAACAAAACGAACTAAAAACTGATATATTTTATCAAACCTTAAAGCATAAAGCACACAGAACAAACAAAAAAACAAAACAAAAAAAAACATACAAACAAACGGGTAACAGACACTTGAAGAAATTAACGTTACTATATTGATTTATTTCAGGCAGCCTGTCTGTGCAGGAAGAATATTTGTGCCCAATAGTGCCAGTGTGTATTGTTTAAAAAGCCACAACTTTGCTAATGTAGGTCAGATTGCTATCTGTTTTTCTTCAGTTTTTATTTCCATTTTTAAATGTGGTTATGGCGTGGGACAACACTTCATACAAACGATATACAAGTAGAGAATCAATTTTTGAAAAACACCCCCAACAACAACCAAAGAAAATCCCCAAAATAACGTGGAAAAACCCAGACCCCCCCCCCCCCAACTAAAACAACAACAACAACAACAAAAAACCTCAACCCAAACAACCCTGTCTCCCTTCCAGATACATGTAACAACTAACTACTTATTCACCAATAGGATATCGAACCCAAATGTTCTGCATGCAACAATGGAGAATCTGTCCGCCACACTACAGATGCCGGTCTTAGTATCAGTATTAGTAAGTGCCTAAAATGGAAGCTACGGTTCTTACCAGTCGCACAATCAGCTTGAATCCTTTCTTTTCAGTGAATCCCTTGCTGATTCTGTCGGCAGTCTTTTTCAAACACGCCATTACCTCCCTCTTGACTGTTCCTATTTTAGCCGCTTCCTCCTCGATGGCGTCACTCAATTTGGTGAAAATACATTGACCTTCATATCCGTCTTTGACCCTTCCTGCTCTCTTAACAAGGGTCTCTCTGTTATCCAAGAGCTGTCCGGTGTAGAACCCAACCTGAATTTTGAGTGAGAATAAAAACATTTATGAAGCGTCTGTGGCTGTAGAAGAAACGAATTTCATTCAACATATCCCGCATAAATTACGAATTTAGAGATAAACTCGTTCAAGTCAAAGATTATAATTAAAATTAGTTTAGTTTTTGTCGAACCAAACAGAAGATAAGTGCTTCAATTAGGTCTGCCTCTTCAATTAATTATATACCGATGTCTGTTGTATAGCGGTTAGACGCTTCGCTATTCCACACGGGAAACCCGGGTTCGATTCCCGAGTGGGGAGATTTTTTATCGAGTAGCTTGGTCAATGTCGTGCTGGGACGTTGTGTACCTCTCAGTCTGTGTTGGCCCTGACAGGAAGGGCCAAA